TTGTTCGATATCACGTATCATATATATCAGACTTATCCATTAGCTTCTTGCTTGATTTAGTGTAGAGGGATGACGCAAGAAGTCCCAATATAAAATCTGTATCGAAAAAAAAACTTGCCAACAACGTTTATCCTTCCTACGCCTCAAATGCACGTTTCACTTACGTATGCTGCCTCTGGCCAGCAAAACTATATCCCAATTTCCATAAAAGACCAGTCCTCTAATTACGCCGGAAGTGCGCTCCCTCTACCGCAGTATGCCTATGTTAAATTGAGAAAAGACTCCATTGAATCGAATTTCGAAATGGTCCATCCGTTTTTAAATAACCCAATTCTTCGGAGAGCGAACGTTTATTAGCAAGCGAGCGCGGAGCTGCAAACACAGTATAAAAACATCCGACGCGACCTTAAAATGAACGCGTTCGTATTAGTTGCTGGAATTATAATAATTGACTGAGCTGTCATGTTATCTGTTCCATTAATTTCGTTAGCTACACCACCTAGTATCGTGGAATACTAGGTGGTGTAGTTAAAAAATAAGGTCTCGCACATTTGTTATATATATCCCAAAGGTTTTCATTTTATGTATGCTAAGTGAGCAGGAGACGCAAAAAACATTGCAACAAAGAGCAGACTAAAGTGATCTTGTTTTAACTGTCTAAAGACCCTCGCCTTTTAGAAGTTTGATTTCACAACACCGTCAAGAAAATGTTCAGTGAGCCTGATATGAATTTGTACTCGGTCCAGCGAACCTAAAACAGCTGCACCGACGTTAGGCCAATATTTTATATTCGTTTAAAGATTAAGTACATCGTTGGTGTCGGACGGTCAGGCTACAGCATGTGTCTATTTCCACTGTACTATTTAAATACAAAAAAAAACCCTTAGGATAGGTGAACTTATATTTCTATCGTTTGAAAGAGAACGAAGCAAAACTGCAGGGACGCCCATTTGGCATCTCGATACGTTACCCATATGTCAATTCAATATAGATCCAAGATCATTTGCTACATCAAAAGATTTTTTTTAATTGAAGCTTTAATTGAAAATTTTAATTAAAGAAGCCTACCAATTAGACAGAAATAAAATATTATGATCCCAGTCTTTGTGCTCAGTCTATGGCTACTTGTCCCTTGTCTACTTCTAGCGTTGATTGCTGGCTTTATCTTTTCATCTTTTAGCTAGATTTGAGCTGTTTACGATTTTTTTACTTTTAACGCACTCGTGTTGGCACCTACAGGCAATAGACTTCTGTCAAGGACGTCGGTTCATAGATGGCTTATTTTTTTCGTCACGAATAGAGTCGATAACGAATCCACTAACAGCAGTTAATCTGTTCCCTCTTCCTCCCATAAGTTTCAACGTAAGCAATCTGTGTCATCACACTGTGCCATTGTATCACAGTTCTCATTGAAAAATTGCATTGAGTGTCCGATCGGTAGAAATCAAAAAAAGAGAAAATGAATAAAGGTGTATTTGTAAGCACTAAAAATAGCACAAAAGCTAGATCGCGGTCCCCTTCCAACAACTAGAATATAAAAATTTAGTTGCCATGATAGAGAAACAAAGCAGAGCATGTGGCCACTCTGCCTTGCTATCGTTTGCATTGGGTCGCAGTATTTAAGATAGTCGTGCTGTTGAAGCGTTTGCTTATTTAGTTCATTAGAGCTAAGTATCTCTGGCGGTCGTGCGACGTTGAACCTGGACCCTCAGGATGTTTCGTTCGGATTAACTAGCTTTCCTTGTCTATAGCTGTAAGCGATAGTATTTTACGAAAGTAACATGATCATTGTCAAATTTTACAATGACCGCTCCTGTTAACACGAGATGGGCGAGCGATCGGCTACGGCATAACGGAGTCTATTGCAGAAAAATAACATTGATGTCAAAAATTCGTATAGGAAAACCTTTCGCATCTGTGACACTTCATCCAAATGATTATCGAAGTCATCTACTGATGACTTGATAGATTGAGGCCACACCAATCCTCCCCGTTGTCACCAATCCCTTCTACTGGGTGGAAGTGTACCGAGAGATTTGTAAGGTAGTCACATATATACAACACTGATTTCATCCACATGTATTCTTTCTTGACAAATGGACAAAACCTGTTTGTGATCCGCCGTACCCCGATACATTCTTTTATATTTCATCTTTTACATTTACAATCATTACATGTACCGTGCTGCCCGATGATCCTCGAGTAATTTTCCGGCGGGCATTGAATCGAACGTAACACACCTATAACATAACTAACAGTCACTGCTATAAGGCTGACTACAAACGTGTAAGAATAGGTAGTTTTGAATATGTATTCGGCTTTTCTAATTAAATACATATTTTTCGTGATTCGCTTATAAAAACCACGTAAAACAGTGTATTCATACAGCACCGTTAGTGATTCATTGTTCAAGCTTTCCTTGCACAGCCTCCCATCAAGCGCCGAGCTTATGAACCTTGCGCACCACCTTGTGGACCTCTTGTACTCGTGTCGACGATTACACTCCAGTATGATGCGTCGGGTATATTAGTTCGAAAAAGGGCATGAACTTTGCGTTAAAGGTCGCTGTTGACCCAGTTATACGTTGTGTGCTGTGTTGTATGGCCTCCCGCTCCCGACACTGGCCCTGTCCGTAAGCTACTCTTACGAAGAACAAAAAAACAACGCCAGCGGTAGGAAAATAAAATAAGGACTCCTTAGAGGGAAACAGATCTGCGGGCAGCGATTAGAAAGAGAGTAAAGATAGTAACCTGTAAGGTCTATGATAATAACAAGCCATGCTTTCCTCTTGAACTGTCACTTTTCCTTGGCCATTTTGAAGACCCTAAACGATACACAACCTACAACGATAACACTAAAATAATCTCTCGAGATGTTTCCTGCTCTTTTTCCCTGACGCCTTCTGACTTACATAGACGGCAAATGTTTGTCAACATGATCAGAGACGACGAAATTGCCGCCGCTACCTTCCTCGAGCGTCAGAGTGATTGAGTGGAAGTAACACGGATCTGAGGTCCGATCTTGCGGTCATATTAAGCTGCGCAAGCAGGAACTATTCAAGTAGAGAGTAAATGGACTGGGCACAGCGAAGTGACACGAAAGGCTGTTCCGAATACAACAGTAAGCTTCGAGTATTACTATAAAAAAAAAAACCGCAAAGGTAGAGCCAAGACACGAGCTGAACTTTACGCAACAAGGAACCTCATTGTGAGAGAAGATAACTTGAAATATAACGACAGAAGGCGAATGAAACTTGTAGTGATTCACAGCGAAACAGAAAAAAGCTCCCAATATTCAAAGATTAGATTCATTGTACAGGCCAAACTAAGGCTATCTAATACGCACCCAAACGAAATGCTGGGTTACGTAACGGGCTAGAGGTGCTTGATGCCTTACGGGTCGCCCGCCTAGTTGTTTTTAGAAATACTATTAATATTTGCATATATTTTAAACGTTTACGCTTCTGATTGTCAATGACCAATAGGCCATCTTTTTTTGTAAGCCCTGCGATGCGATTGAGCACAAAGCACACAACTGGAGTAGATTTACCAATACGTAGTAGTATAATACATACGTAATAATAGCATACCGTATTCATATGGTATAAGAATAAGCTCGAAAAATTTCGGTGAATGAATGCTTCGGCTATGTATTTCGTCGCTACCAGCTCAGCCACAGCTCAGTCGTCGGTATCCAATTTATTTTATTTATTCATATATAGCTAAATTAGCGTAAAAGTAACTCCTTACATTTTCCACACAGTTTGGCCAATAAGAACCAAATACCGTCATACGTCATAATTTTACTATACTAAATAAATAATTGTATAATGGGGAGATTGACCGGAATTGTACTGTTGTTAATTAAAACTAATCACAAATAACACCAGATCGTCAATAGCCTGTTACGCCTTATCAATTCTAAAATGTATATAAAGTAATAGATTGATGCACAAGTAACGCCCGCGTGTTTCAAACGTCCTTTTTTACCAGTCGTTTGCCATTAGATAGTACTCGAAAGCACTTTCTCTCGTCATGAACGTCATCGCTAGTAACCTCTGCTCACGTTCAGACTTGAAAGCTAGATACACTTTTGCTACATTGCTGATATGATATGATACGATGATTTCGCTTCTGTCAAGGTAAAAAACCTGCGAAAATAGCCCGGACAATTTGCCATGTATGGCTAGGAGCTAGAACTGAAAGCACTGCGCAAAGTACTCTTGCTAACTTCAAAAATACTGTTTTGGGCGTAGAGGAAGGATTCCATGCTCGGCCGGCCCACCGGCCGTTCGAATTCGATAAGGGCCGCCTGAAGTCACCTTTGAAAAGGCCGGGCGAATAAACCGAACACAGACTGTCAGCAGACGTTTGAAATCTATGGCGTCATAAACCGGCTGAAGAGTGCAGAAAGACCTGCGCTCATTGTCTATCAGTATCTCTCCCACTTTTCAGCAAAAAGTAGTCATAATAATAAGGTTTTACTGAACAACAATCCAATAATAAATTTTTAATCAATTTTAAGTTCAGAAATGAATGGTCGGCGCCGGGCGATGCCCGTCAGTATAAAGCAAAACTAGATTTACATGATATAACGACTATGGTTTGCGTTTACAAGACTAATAGAGCCTCAGTAGGACTCAAGGTAACCCTATATCATCCAGCCGGATCGAGTAAACGGGGCTATTTTACAGAAAAAAAATATATTCGGCACGGCAGAGCAATCCTTGCAGAAGTCATCGCCTTTTTCGAACTCCGCCTCGACGTAGCGCCAGATTTTCCCGTCAGTGGTAATCGGAATTCATATAAGTCGATCTAACGTTCGAGCGCCTCTAAAAAACTAGTTGAACAAAATTGGACCAGAACATTTCCGATCAAAAATTGTTAAAAAATGCCAGAAACTCATACGGAATCGCGATAGAAATACTATTCTGGTTTCTTATTAGTTTTAAAAGCCATCAATACTACTTATTCATATTATACGTTGGCCTCCGTTCATACCTAGAATTCATCCAGTAGTAGATAAATGGATTATACATGCAGTTGGACATGGCCAGCCAATAGATGACTAGGTATAAGGGCTGCGCCCATGTTGTGTACGTCACATCCGGATCGAGGTACGTGTAGATGAAGTAAAGATGGTAAGGGAGCCAGCACACTCCGAAGATCATCACAACGACAACAAGCATACGGACCACCTGAAATTTGACAATGAGTTTAAAGGAAAGGTCAACAAATCGGATAATGGCTCAGGTAAGTGAAGGGTGTACGCGAGCACGTAACAAACATCAATCCCTAGTCAACTTCTAGATAATGTTGTGTGTAATCGATGTTGTAAAGTTATTTTCGCAGCTTTCACTGTTTTCTGCGTCGCCCCATACTCCTCAAGTAACTTTAGCCAATTTTTCAAACCATATGTTAAAAAGAGACGAAAACAATGCCGAAGCCGATTTACGGCATTTTCTTATAGCTTACTTGAAGCGATATATGGAACCGCTGATGTGGTTGGTTATCAAAACAGAGCCAACGATTACCACCTTAATACATGTCATAGTGCTTTACACGCCGCTTTTCGCAAACCAGGCTTAGATCGTTTATCGGAAGTCTGTTCTGCTTTCACCAGTCCTTGAGTGGGCGAAACACTAGTGATCTTCAATTGGCGGAACCATTAGCAGATATTCATAGCGTAAGGAAGACTAATATCTTGTACAGATATTTCGTTCTTTTCATATCTAGGCTAAAGGCTGCTTGTTTCTTCTGCTGAGATCGTTGCTCCACAAGTGGCATCCGCTCGTAAATGGATCTTTAGTTATCGTAATATGAACGACACCCTGTCGTTCTCTTCTCCTGCGTATATTAGGAGAAATAGTGTCAATTCTAATCTACGTTAACCCTGTGATATTACTGTGTTTAAATAGTCTGACACTGCCATCCCAGTTTGTCGTCGTGACAATGCGGCGCTAAACGTGGGGCGACGTGGTGGTTTAGGTTCGAACTCGGACGCATTAATACTTCGTTTCGTGATAAGAGCCAGCACTGGCCACAGAGCTCGACACGTTCCATTGAGACGGCACAGGGAAACCTTTCTGAGATTTCAGCTAGCGAAGATTAAAGTACATCAGTGATGCAGATTGGCCTGCCTAGTTCAATGAGCTTCTGTCTAGGATAATCGCGTTATCCAATGTAGACAAGATAGCTCATTTTCCTGTGTCTCAAATGGTCGGTTCCATAATAGGTCAATTGGGCACGATTATAAACGTGCGTCCTGTATATCTGGACACACATCGTATACCGTATGATATATTTCAAGGTAAACATTTATTGTTCAGCTTTCGCCTGTCTATGCCTCTAGTCATAGGAGTTTTGAGAAAAAAAATATGTACTACAAATTTATACCACAAACAAAAAAATTGATATAGGAAATGCCTTCCACATATCAACGACTTAACAACTCCGCAGGTATTTGTCAGGAAACGTTTCTAACGTGTTTTCGTATTATGATTTACATTAAATTAATATGCACAAATAGAATTAATTTAGAATAGAAAAAAAAGTGTTTAATTCACTATTTTTTCTTATTACATTAACAGACTAAAGCGACATTAAACTTATAATCAAGACCATATAGGTTAAATGTTGGATAGATGTTTTTTGTTCGAATTGAGCAAAATATTACTGTTACAAGGCGGTCTGCAAAAACATACTTCATAAAAATAATAACAGAATAGAAATCCACGCTCTATTTAAAAGATTACCGACGCCCTCGAAAGAAAATCACTTCCAAAAGTTCAATGTCTCAAAGCACCTAAGTTATGCCTTTTTCACCACTGTGCATATATCTATATATAGTATAGAACGTTTGAACCCGGGGAGCGCTTGAAGAAATATTGCTTTCAACTTACTATTTTTATCTAATGAACTTCTGTTTCCCTGATATAGGTTCTTCCGCGTTGATTTACATGGGTCTTGAGGATACGCCATGATACTGGCATTCGTTACAAGTCGAGGTCAATTTCATCTCTGTATAGCAATATATATTCCTCAATAATAATAATAATCAACATACGTAGAAATTACAGGTTATCTATATTGTTTTCTCATTCAGTCGCTTACTCTGTTCGATCTTCTAATTTCTAAAACGGCTCCGCATATTGTTTTCAACCTATAAACTGCAAACAAATCAGACCGATTTGAAACTTCCGCAAACTTTCCGTGGGCCATTCTCATTAGATCCAAGGCCTGACAAAGGTCAATCAAGTCCACTCTTCGACTTCTAGCCAGTTCCAAGCAGCATTTAAAGAGAACCTTTACGCGACATAGCACAATGAGCAGACTAAGAAGAGGTAACCCACTATTAGTTCTTGTTGGCTATGCCCTCGATTCCTTTCTACGCTGTGCCGACTATACCATTTAGGATTTGTTTCCATCTATCCTGCCGCAATCACCTGCCTCACGTCAAAGAAACAGAGTTCTAGGATTAGGTATCAGCGAACCTAGGTGAGCCTGTCATCATGGACAGAATAGGTAAATAACGACGTTAATACACGGATAGCTGAATAGAACGCACACTATCTTTTTTCCATTGGCTAACAGACCAATAACGAGCCGCTTTTAGGCGGGCAGAAGCTGCCCGAATAGGCCCCATGTGACGCCTTGCTTAGTTGCTCGCGTGCCGCAATGTGGCCCCCTAATAAGACAATGTTTGATATATGCTGTACAACACTGGGGCCTGTTTTAGTATAATTAGGTGGTGCTTTTCCGCCCTTGGATCTCATGTTGGGCAAAATATTCCATCGATGGCGTACAGTATCTATACGTAATTTTATTTCATCTAGGCACAAGAAGCTCAAAAGGCCGAACAGTTATTCACACATGGATATGGTGACTAGTTAAATGAAAGCAAAAATGCGTTACGCACACGCATAGACTCTCGCTTTGTTAAAGACAGATTATTAAAGTAAAGCTTATGTCTGCGTGAAATCAGTTTACGAGTGAGACATACTTCGAAGCATCAGTTACGCAATGGTATATTTAACGTAAACAGTGACCGCCGACCTGGTAATCATATTTGGCTAATTGGGCTAGAAATTCTGACCCTGTCCAAAATGAAACGGACTCCGCGAGATTGGGCGTTGCAGGTATTACAGATACTGCTATATGTAACATGTGTGACGGTTTCATATCTCGCGCCAAAGCAGCTGCTGGCGCTGGTGTCGAATACACTATTTTCATTGGTTGATGTGTGTGTCTTTTGTCAAACTTAGAAATTCTTCATTTGAGTTTGCTCGTTCTTATGTGGATACAGCTTACCCGATGGCTATTACGAAGTAGGTTCATTCTTGTAGAGAAGAGAGAGAGAATAACTTCAAAAGACTCTTAAAACTGTATCGCCAATATAGCTTATTTTTCCATGCACACATACATGTATATATATAAAGTAAGGTAAAACTAGTTGTCCGAAAGCTAAGAACAAAGAAAGCACTGAGAGTCCTTCGCGCAATGTTTGCAAATTACATTAAACATGAAAAGCAAACACTCGATAATAACTGCTAATAAATCTACTTTCTTTAACGTCAACTAATTATTAATTATTACATTTATGGCTGTGTATATCTGCTAAAGCATACTAAAATTATGCTTTAACAGAAATACACAGCCATAAATGTCCATTATGCCATCAACGCGCATTTCGTTTTTCGGCCTGCGTCCTGTTCAGATCACTTGTGTCCAGCAGAAACCTGAAAGGCCTTCTAATTCAAAACGACTTAGGTCAACGTAAGTGACATCTTTGCGGCTAGATTTCTGTTCACGTGTCCTTAGGTAGCCATTACAGATCCGAAGCTGCGCACACAAGAGCCTTAACAGGCATGACGTTCCATCTAGGCTTGTGATTTTCTAATGACAACTTGTTCTACCATCGCCTAATGTAGTTGACGCCTGTTTGTACTTTTACTGCTAAAAATTGTCAGCATATGCGGTTTGACGTTGTTTTCCCAAGTTCCATCCCGTTGAAGCTTTTCTAGGCGACAGCCGAAGCGTCGTCTCATGCGTCTTTCAGGGAATATAAAATTGAAAAAATATTCGTAAAATTCGCCGTACCTTGGATACTTGAGATTTTGCTTTTCCTCACGAATGTACTAGTGAAGTTCTGGCAGATTAGCAACGAAAAAAAAAAAAAAAGCGCGCTAAATCTGTGGTTTTGAAGCGTGAAAAAATTATTGAGGTTGATTATGTGCAACGGCGGATAACCCTCAAGTCTTTGATTTTTTTAATTCTCTTAAAAGTCTCTAGACAGTCTCGATGTATATATTTTCATATTGGCTCGATTAGCGGCCAAAGTGAGGCTTAATTCGAGGCCGACATCAAGTTGAAATCAATTGAATGACACATGATCGACTGGGCACGATTAATAGCGCCTGTAGTCGTTTATAGAGTGTCCACGGTGATCATTGGCTGTGACTAACGTGGTTAAAGTGTAATTTTTTGAGCATAAGCGTGAATGACGACCCTGCTAGTTATATCATCAGGCTTGTCGCCGACCACGTTCTGTACCCAGCCAAAAACGACGACCATATAAACCTGGGTATGGCGCTTCCCAACGCTGTCCTGCTAACACATCTTATAGAATCTTTGAAAAAAGGCTCCGTTCAACGAATCAACTTCCGTTAACTGTAGAGAGGCAAATATATATAATGGAAAGCTGGTGGTTTGGCGCAAAATGTAAATGACCTTTGACAAAACCATGTATAGTATAGGCCGTATTACTAAGAAAGATCGCTAACGATGACGACGCAAATGCTTAACGTCATATAGCAAACGGCATGCTTAAACATAGGCGAATATTTCTAGACATAATCCCAGCTAACGGACAACACAGCATCCGTCAAATGAATTGATTCCAGTCCAAAAAAAAAGAAACGTCATTTATTGTTCCCTGTGTGATGACTAGATCCAGCCTGGTGGGTTACGCTTATCAACACTACAATAGCCTCCATACGGTCCGGAATCCGGACTATCTTACGTGTCTATAAGTTTAATAGGCAAGCACGTTACCGCATCATTATTACGTAGATAGTATTCTACTGATTAACTAGTCTCCTAACTGGTCTTTCCAATACGATTCGCGCTTTTTTTCAAAATTCGTTCGCATACGGTCCGAGCGATGAAACTAGCAGAGGAAAAGACAAATGCGTCCTGTGTTCGTATAGCTTTAGAATAACGAAACATGTGACTAGTCAAAGGAAGGCGCCGTCGTACTATGCAAATATTGAAAGGCAAAAACTGGGCATCATTCGTAGTTTCCCGTACATGCCCTATATGGCTTGTTGGTGTTCTTGCCGTGATATCTTCTTATACTCGCAAGCCATTCGTTGCGTAGATGGCTCTACCAGTTTCGAGCGATGGTAATGTTGAGAGGTGCTTCCAAGAAATGAAGTTATCTGTCTTCGCTACAAGTAGCGTGGCCCAACGGGGTGGTTTCGGTGAACATTGCACGGACGCAAATATCGGTGCGGGACGAACAAGCAATAATAAAATGTTTATTACGGTTGGGCAAATGCGGAAGCAATGTTCGGTGTTTTCTTCGCCTTTGCTAAAAGCGTTCGCGTTCCACTTCATCCTTCTATCGACAATCGCAGTACTCTGTCAGGCGACAAGCACTGAAAGGGAATTTGATCCGGTCCTCATCATGACCAAACGTACCACATCTGGGACAATGTTGACCAAACCTCCCCGGGCGTGGGAAGGAACCAAGCAACCTAAGAATCTCAATAGTAAGTCTTCCAGCAGGTATAGAACGTGTGCAGTTTCGAAGCAAGAGGTCACTGCTTGCGTCTCGAGACGGGTGTGCATGTAGGTAACATAGGCTGAATTCAATATGGACGAAACTGTCTTAGTAGGAGGGAGTATCTTATGAAAAAAAAATACTATTAATTAACTCTTGATTTTTATCCGAAGTTTATGAAATCAGAAAGAGGAATTTCTTTTTACTTGCACGGTACATTTGCCATTAAATGGAGTTAATTGGAACGATTCCTTAGGTGTTTCCATTACGAGAACATTTTCCAATCCTTCCCATACTGTGTAATTTGTCTTAGTAAAAAATTTAGGTTTCTCTAGAAAAATTTAATCTATTTCATGAAAATACGCGTTCTATTCGATTAGGCCATCGGGAAAGAGCGTCTTTTATAAACTGTGTCATGTTAGATTTCATTGCATATTCAGCAGGATTTTTTTTACGGTGATGGGGCACTTTATTAATCTTGTCCACATTAAACATCAATTACATAAAGCATGATTTAGATATAGCTCAAAATAAGTCACTTCTCTATAACTATTGATTTTTAATCGATTGAGTTCGCTTGACGCACGCACCGGTCCAAATGACGCCACTAGTTAACACCTCAGAACAACCAACAGAATTTTTGTTGTATTGGTCTCCCGAAGGCTACCGAGGTCTTGCAGGGTGAAAGCTGGTTAGAATGCGACTTAAGTGAAGCTTGCATGCTTGAAGGACAAGTGCAATGTTGTATCAACATGAGGAAAATTTTCTAGCTATACCGTTCTCGAGGTGCGGGCATTAGACAACCCAAAGCGCTGTGCTGGAAACACAGCTCGGGTCTTGTGTCTGGTTTTACCATAATTAGACATAGCTGTCCGGGACGGCATTAGCCCTTGTCTCTCTATACTTTTGTATAAAGTAAAAGCACGGTTGTTTAGGGACAAGTTTCCTATCGTTATTATTGAACGCAACGGCAACACTATCTCACCGTGCTTTTAATTTATATCCTTCAGGTCTATCCAGTATGCTGTTAAAGATGTCGAGTGTTTTCCCGTTTAAAACGTACAATGATAGTTTGCGTTTTGCGGTGGCAGTAACGGCAGGACTCTTCGCATTGATCGCATTGTGTGCCCTGGCACCCACCATGTGGATGGGGCTCAGGTAAGTTGATGTATGGATTTCGAACAGGATCTTTTTTCTATTATTTAAGCATTATATAGGCAGCGATCGGCCGGTGGCAGTAATGCAAATTGTATTAGTATACTTCAACTCCGGCTGAGTACTGAAATTCTTCCTATCTTATGTTTTTTCGTGCTTCAAATTGTCCGCTTATCGTCGTCGTACGAGCACTACATTTAGTACATTTTTCACGCAAGGAATATAGCGCTCGTTATACACTGCGTGCCCCGGTGATGTTCAGAGGAGCAAAACCCGCGGACAGCAATATAGATATAGATAGAAAGTTTCGTTTAACAAAACGAGACTTTCGCTAGCCGCGCTCCTGCCTTTCCGGTTCTTAGCTTTCGAGAAGTCTATTGCTGATTGTTACATATCATAAGTCAGGCATAAGTGCTCATTTATCGTTTCTTTCTCATTGCTGCTTTAATATTTCCGATAGTTCTGCGGGTACCGCCGCTTCAGTCTGCACAATCAACAACATATTTCCAGATGGTGATTTCCATCTCTTACCACGTTATACTCGGCGGTACCGTCGGAGTAACCGTTGACATCAGGAGCCAAACTGAAATTCTTCATTTAAAATACTCGATTATTCGCTTGTTTCTTATGGAGACTCATGTCTCCATACTTTTACTTACTGTACACTTTTTTAGATATACACAAAATTATGTATAATCCAAATTCTTGGCTTTATTGGATCAAGAGAAAAAACAACAATGTTGTGCTTCACCATTATATTTTTGTAGAACTCCAGTCCAGTATGGATGTAGCCAATTTCCACGTTCGTAAGAGACGTAAGTTTTGTTGTTGTAAGAGATATTAGCAATGCCAGTTAAACCTGAAAAACCTATTTTATTTGTCGGATTACCGGTTTGCTACTAAGGTTTTGTCAAAAGCTACACAGATTTTCTTTAAACAGAATTAGCTATTGCCCTGTCCTCGTACAAAGTACGTCACAAATGAAGTACGCCGTATTTCCCAGCAAAACTATTGAAGGACTGACTGGTCACCGTCTTGGAGTTGGACCTTTTCCAGTGAATATATACTGCAGAAGCTTTAGCCAACTTCCCCAAGTGGGAAAGGGTTTTATGTCCAAACTACAGAAGTTGATCTTTTAGCCCACACAGTACCTCAACATCTTCAAGTACCTAAGTGTAGTGCTAGAAGACGACAGATAAAAGAATGAATAAGTATGCTCAGCAATGCCCCTATTCACGTAATGTGTTGTATGTAACAGACATATGTAACTTATCGCTGCGAGTGTTATCGTTATTGATAGCCCTATAGATAAGTTTTCAACGTATTAACTTGCCCGCTTCTGGCAATTCCAGGTACGTTTTGCGGGCACAGTTCAAGGAATTCCTGCTTTAACGGCGCCAAATAGCTGTACTGTTTTCATCTAAATCATTATTCTAATTAGTTAATTATTGAATATTTTTTTCAATAGGACCCTTTTTATATATAAAATAAAAATATGATTATTGAAAAAAGCAAAGAATAAATTTTATTTTCTTTTCTATTTAACCAGGTTTGTGTGGGTCGTTCTCAGGAACGTAATACTACGCTCCAACACCACGCTAGGGTGTTTAATAATATTAATATTTTATTTCAGTTTGAGCCTTGCCTTAATGTAGTATGCCATATTTCAATGCAATGCTCCCGGTGTTCAAACAGATACCGAGTCCGTTTATGGTGTCTCATTATGTTCAACCGATTCCGCGACTTCATCGACCGTATAGCACCGTGCAGTCGGCGCGGAACGAAGTTCGATGAGAAGAAATTTAGCCGAACGTGCTTAACTTTGTCAGAATTGATGAAATTAAATATGAGCTGCAAAAAATCATGTCGATATATGATCTGTCGGTACTACGATCGAAAGAAAAACAAAACCAAGCGCGATAAATAGCAATACTAATTCAATCGGTTCCTACGGTCGTGATCAATGGAAGTTAACGGCTTCAGCATACGATGTTCTCCACAAAGAAGATTAACTGGGGAAGCCAACCGTTCAATTATCACCACTATGAAGCAATCTGACCTGTCCTTCATGCAAAAAACTTACGTCACCTCTGACAGGTCGGACGTCAGGCTGATACGTGACTACAGCTTGCCGAATCAGGCCACGAATTCTCAATGACGATAATAACAAGTATCTTCGATTCGAACTATGCGTAAGCTCCATTGTTAGCCTCCTCTGTTCGAAAACTTCTTACTAAACCTTCCGAACTTCCGAGTGACATTGGTCAGCCACCTCTGACCTTTGTCTCAACCCCTTAAGCCGGTCGTCTTGGCATTTTTCTGGGATCAACCATTGTGTGCGATATTAATTTAGGTTCGCGTTCCCTCGTGTTTTTCCTTTTGCCGTAGTCTACCTTGTTTATGCCAGAAGCGTTCTTGTACCGACGCAATGGGCTGCTGTATGATGTTAGCTCGCAGCACGCGAAATTTCGCAAAGGTAATCCAATCTGGGCGGATTCCCGATAATAGTTAACGAACACCAGCGTGCCGACAATTGTCTTCTCAAGGATTTCCCCGGTGCGGACAACAGCTGGGAAGCATTTCGAGACTCGATTACGTGGTTAAAGCAAGTGCATTGATGAAGTTAAACGTTGCATCCGAGAGTTTTGCCATGAGACACTGATGGGAAGTTCGATTACGGGCTACGGAGAGGACTGGAAATAACGACGACGCTCCGATGCGACAATCGGATCCACTGAGCTCTAGCTCAGCGAAGCGCGGCGTATGCGCTATAGAACTGCAGAGAATTAGAAACACCGACGTTTTTTTTTTGTAAAGAGCGGCGTTTGCCTTAGGTTTCACATTCAACTGTTTCAGTTGTGTGGTGCTAATGCTTCTTTATACCTATACCGCTAAGCGGACACGGCGACTTGCCATTTATCTACTAGGAACATTTGCTTAGGATCTTCGTTTCAATCACCGGTTCACTTTAATATTGAGTAGGATCGCACTGTAGATGCGTGATGCGTTGCTCTTTTTCGTCTGCACTTGTCACTCTCCGTACGCTTTCGTCCTTTGAATGACCTAAAGTAGGACAGGCGTTCGAGCTTATCATGCTTGATTTCAAAGGTTCAAGAAGCTTAATTTGCTATTCCATATTATAACTAGCGGTAATTTATTAAACAGGTAATTTTCCTTGATGATGGCTTGTTTCGATCAATATCGAGTATTATACGGACCGCTATCGATTAGTAAGACTGCATGTTAGAAAACAAATGAAAAAATAACAGCTTCAAAATACTAGTACTATTTTTAGTGTAGTGATAGTATATGAAACGTGAAATATTAATACAAAAAATATCGTACTTACCATGGGCTTTCAACCCAAAATATTCCCACGGGCTTCAAACGAAGGTTTGATCGAGTTGTTTGTTCAACGAGCGGACGGTTTCTGTTTATGCTTACAAACAATAGTAATGCCAGTAGGAGCTTCTAGGTCTTTGAATCGGCTTTTTAAACCCCCGCTGCATACACCTATTCGATACAGACCAAGTCGCTTCTGCCTGTGCAAACCCCCCTGAGTAGATTTCAGCTCAGTTAGCTGTGTTCTCGACTGAAACCCGTACGGACAGCAAACTAGAAGGTGGACCAAACAATGTGAGAAAAAATACAGATGGGTAGCCTTTATCTATTTTATTCGGTCTCGGTACTAACATCGCCTTTCCACTTCATCGCTGGCATGCGAAGCCTGACCCAGGTTTCGGGAGAAAATTCTGTTCCAAAGGCGACTTTTGTGGCGGAAATGGAGGCAAGACCAAAGGTCAGCTAGCATAATGACGATGACGGGAGCGGCCCAGCTATGCCCTGTTTGTCGCTTGTAACTTCATACGTTACCTCACTATTAATGAGATGTAAGATCATTTGTGCTCGAGCAAGAGCGTATCTATTTATTTGTTTGTTTAAAAGCTCGTTTTTCCCAACGAGAAATTAAGGACCCGGAAGCGTGTGCGCCGCTAGTTTCGCTTACGTCAGGAGAACATGTCGGAAGACGTGCCTACTAAATGGAAATACTAGATATAAGCATACAATAAAAAAACCTAAGCTAATCAAGTGGTACATTAGTGGTGCATAAAGCGTCACATACGACGTGGACGCTTTTCTCTTATGCAGCCTCATAGCATCGATGCTTCTGTAACGAGCAGCACTCTCTATGGCATGGTAGTAACTCATTTGCTGACCTAATTTTGAAAAACGTCAAAATTGAGGTCGAAATATCAATATTATTATATGTATAATTGCTTAGAATTCTACGCCTATTTTTAACGCGTACTGAGCCCAGTTGTGATTTTCTCTTGTACTAAGAAATCACCTTTTTTTCTATTTGGCAATTCTCAAAGGTGCAATTGGACTTTCAACGGTATTTACGCTAGAAGGATCCACTAGAAGGACCTAATGTTTACCCAGTGGGCGATTAAATTTCTGCATATGTCCTTATTGTCTTGCAGTTACGTGCTGCGTACGCACATATCTTCTGACCTAATCTTTTTATCTCTACGAGGCCAGTGCTGTATTCGGACAGCAAAAGTGATATCTGAGGTACGAGCCTTCAAGTGGATCTACTGGTTTTCGAAATCGACAACATCGAATATTTCGAAGTCTTGAAGACTAAAAACTATGGTAACACAAAATAATATTTAAAAAATCCCTAAGTAAAATCCGATTAGAAACGAACTAGATCGAAATTTTTCAAGATGGCCGAAAATGACAAAACATTTTTAAAGGAACAAAAGATAATGAGTTGATCTCTTATTTTCGAATATAGTTTCACACTTCCTCTACGTTCTATCATAGGTTCACTAAGTCAATTATTTCTGTTGGGTTCTGCTACTTCTCAAGAATAAATTTTGCGAATTATAATTGTTTATCCGGCGATCTGTCTTCTTATCTATTGTCAAACTGATTTATCTTCGTTGTACTTCTTCCTCTTATGAGATGTCTACGCTGTCATGCTTAACAAATCTGGTGTAGAAAACCCAAATTCGTAAGTTATGTTACGCTATTCAAAGAACAGGGTGTCAACAGATGCTCTACAAAGCGAAAAGAGAGAGCTCTCAATTAGCGTATAACACTTCGGCAGGCAGGCAGGCAGGTAGGCAGGCAGGAGGGAATCACGAGGAAGAACTTCAGTAAATCACTGGATCAACACAATACACGCTTATTTTATATGTGTGTTCTGTACAGCAAATATGAAGGCGCTAATCTTCTTCACAATTTATCATGACGATTTGCTCCTAATAGGCGTATATTATTTTTGTTTTATCTTGTTCACAGATTTGCTGTGGCGAACCTCGTTTAGAGTAAGTTCTTGATTGGTTGAAAGATCATCTCATCAAAGAGATTGGTAAAAGATAAGAAAATTAGTATCTGCATGTTTATTAATTGAGACCTTTGGTAAAGCGAAGTTTCTTCGACTGTGCATAGATAATCAGATAATTTTTCAGCTTTTTCTGTGACTCTTGACACGGTTAGACGTTAAAAAGGACCTTTCTGCAGACTAACGCTTTGAAGTTTTCTGCACTGAAATAAAGGGGAAAAAAAGGGGCTAAAATAAATAAATTGCAAAAAGTGATGGACAAACACGATTTATTAGAATAAATCTGCGCATTACTAGAACCAAGTTATCGTCAACTAGATTCGACACAGAACATTGGTTGTATCGATGCTACCGCGGGATTTTTAGGTAATATTGATGTAGGAAATTACCATACAAATAATAATTTCCGAGCCATTGCCAAGCTAAACAAGTCAGGTGTCAAAGAGATGAGAATTCAAGCAAATCATCCAGGTGACTAGTGCAGGCTCACGTGCAAGGAACGGCCAGACTGCACGAGCGACGATCATCTGCCCGATTAGATACCCATACGAATCGCGAAGAGCATGCAGCATACGTGGATCACGCTTGTTGCTATTGCATTGTGGTGAAGAAAGCATTCGTATCTACAGGTGATTATAAGAGACATAATCATATATAGTTGCACGTCATCGGATTAACCCATAGAGAGCTTCTCCTCCGTTCGTAAAAGAGGCATTCGAGCAATTGTGCGTCCCGGCGAAGATATGCCAATCTCTTGCGTCCTTCATGAAACTGAAGGAGCGCTCGCAACCAGAATGAAAACTGGCCCTTGAAAGACTCTTTTCAACCTAAAAAAAAAACAGGATTTTCCCCATACCATTATCTAAGCAATACTTCCTTAGCTGACGTTTCAATAGATCAGTTTTCGCTCACATGACACAGCGAGATGTCCTAGTATAAAAACGCTCACTGAAAAGGCTAACAAAAATAAATTATTTCTACGTACATAAGGGAATAAACTGGACTCCACTGAGACCCCTTATGGCCTGCTGCATAGCTGGTAGATAGAACAGGCCGAACTTTTACAGGATAAAGAGGCTGCAATTGTGTCTCGATGTTCTACCCAACATGCTAAACGTCACGTATCGATTACCTCTGGATGTAGAAGGATACATAAGCGTAAGCTTCTCCCTGGTTACCCTGTTTATTTGGACGAAACATTTACTCAAATCGTTGTATATTCTCGATGACGAAACAGACAAGTCACACAAAAGTAATAAAACAATTCATAAGAGCTGGCCAATTGGTTCTTAATTGAATATCACATAATATGTATTGAGCGAATATCTATATTTAGACGGCCATATCACTAATAATTCATTACTGTGAATTATCTTGAAGACCCTCAATATTGGCTGATGTTTTCTTAGTTGGATGTTCACGCCGAAGTGTATCCGGCTGCCAATGTCTTACAAAACATTTACTAAGAGGAGCTCAATATCACTGACAGAGACTGTGTGCCTCTTCTAGCCAAAGTAACAAGATGAAGGCCAGTTAGTGAAAAAACCTGGGATTTGAAAACGGAACAGCTCGTCATGACTTATGCTTCTCTGAGCATTGGTACAGCGAAATAATATCACCTGTTTTTGCTTTTACCACACTTTCGTCTTAAATGCAAAGACCTTCGTAAGCCTAAAACTAGCTCATTGCACTTCGTTGATAACGAACAACTTATGTATTCGGCCATACGAGCGTTGTGCATATGAATTGCGGCCTGATTTAAGGCTGTTTTGAATTTTTCTCAATGTACGCCATCTGGCCGTACTTCTCGACCGCAAGTAACTGGCGCCGAGTCTCTCATAGTCAATGCTAAATTCGAAAAGGGCCATAAAAAAGGATCTATAAGCTTTTTGTTAACCGTTAAATATTGTGATGAACTAAAAAAGAGGGCGGGTAGTATCTATGACGAAGATGTAAAAAAAATATGCTACTGAAAAGCGTTTCGGCCTTTCCAATAATATTCGAAGTTTCTTAGCTGCATGTTGTGTCCTGCGTCCCAAAATCGATGTCGGTGGCAGGGGCAGCACGAGTCATGGTGGTGGCTCTCCGAGGCTCAGACTATTGAAACAACTGTTAGTGATCGGGAACTATCAAGAATGAGTGGATAGTCAGTTATTCCGTGTGTCTATGCAGTACACCGCAAATAATGTGATATTAATGTAAATTTATGTTATATCCAAGCGTGTAACGTACCGTTGGTAAATATATCCTGATCGTGCCATGTTCTCCAATGTTTTCAATAATGAGGCTTACGTAGTTCACTATGTCAGCCATACATGTTGCTATGTTTCTAAATTGGGCATCTTATGTTAATTGAAGTTCAACTAACTTGACAATAACAGTCTTGTTTGGTTTAGTATAAGCGCGTATATCTTCTTCGTAGGTTTGTACAATTTCACGCCTATTTCTATGATCAGGAATACTCATTTAATCATTTTCTTTAAGGATAATTAACTTTCGGATGATAATTAAAAATTAAAGAAAATAGTGAAACGTGGGTTGTGCCAGTGATGGTGTAACGTGTTCGCTTATTACGCCTATGGACACATGGGGGTCTGGGTTTGAAATCGGGTTAATGTTCCTGTCACGAGCCCATCGTCTAAAGCATAACGTAAAACTCGAAAAATTTAGACGTAGGCAAAAGTCGACATCACTGGGTGAAGTCTACGATAAATTATTGAGCTGCACTTTCTAGACTAAAGTAGATAAATACATTTGAACTATTTTCCTTATACCAATAATCATTCAATAGATAGCTATGTGTCACATGGTGAAGCAAAATCCTTTGTACCCAATATGTATGACCTGGGAAACCGGGCTCAAATCACTGTATAAAAGCTAACTTACCCGTTGTTTGGATCGTATGGCCTCCTTCTGCCGCTCGGTCTGCTCCCCGATACCTTTGCTCCGCCAGAGCACGTGGCCCATAATTGAATAGGCAATAGCAATCGTGACCATTGGCACAAAATACGTGGCGATCATAAACACGACATTGTAACTGTAAATCAAACAAATACTTTCTCGATCAGAAACATAGGATCGAATCTCTTTATTTTCGTCATACAATGTATTTATAATTATTACGCGTCTATGTGAATTGGTTGCCTGTATTAATAGGTATGTTGGCCTATATATAGGAGCAGTGTAACGTAAAACAGATTACTGTGTTGTCCTAGTCTTGAATACATAGAGGTGAGACAAGTGCTGACAAAGACAAAATGTCCGACAAAAAAGCTACTTACGTTGTTGAAGATCTATTGACGATTTTCAGGTCAAAATTTAAGCAAATATTTTTTATGTTTTTTGAAAAAAAAATCAATACTATTGAATTAAACATGCGTCATTTTGGTCGACGACTCTCTGATACCTTTCTAGTAGCATCATAATCCTATCACTTTTGCAGAAAAATTGCAGAAGTGCAAAAAAAATTCGCATTTTTACGTTAAAGCTAAACTAACAGCCTCGCCAAAAACTTTGCAAAGATTAAGATATGTCATAGTCTAATGGTGCAAAGCAGATCCGGGCTACACAGCAGATGTATAAATTTCTTTTTGCGTAACATTATCAAAGTGGCAAACGACGCCTTCTTTGTTCATGTTTCCGCTCGATTTTTTTTGTCATTTGTTTATTATAATTTTGTTAGTTGTTGACAGACCGATCGAATAATGCATGATTCTTCACAGTGTCACCGAATACCTACCACTATCTGCTGAGGCGTCAAGCCAACCCTTGCCACAGATTATGGAATAAGGTTCGTCATCTATTCGCTTTTCGCACATTACTCTCGTAAATAGTCTATTTTTCATCACCCGTGATCAACTGGTTTAGAATTGGCTTTATTTCATTGCGTTTCTATAGAGTTCCTTCAAGTGGAAACACGATCGAGTGGATTCATTTACGTCAGTTCGTGTGGTACTCAAACAGCGAGCCACACTCAGACAACTCTCCTCAGATGATCCGAATCTGCCCAGCGGTAAATTCCTTTTATACATAGCGACATCGTGCCTACTCAGGAATCAGTCTTCTCTAACTTTCCGAATAGTTTGATTAACTCGTTCCGTTCAGTCGAAGTTTCCGACGACAGAAACATCCATTGCGAATTTTGACGATAAAAAGCAGAAATTTATTTACGGGCCTGGGTAGCGAATTGTTCAGAAAAAAATTTCGCCTATTTTTCAGGCGCTCAATCTTGAGCCTGAATGAGGCATTTTAACCCGTCTTGAGCCCGTCTATCACTGTCAAGTCTCAGCTTTTATGTAAACGGCACCAATGCGTCTGATATTAGCTGGGATACGAGATTTTAAAGTTAGTCAGCTGGCTATCTAGCTAGCAAAATTGTTATTACTTTCTCAGAATAGATACTCTAGGTAGATCAGTTTATCGAGATGAGTGAGCATTAGCAAATACGTCCATTCCAAAAATCAAAATATTACCAAATTCTGTTTTGCTTACTATATTTATTTCATACACGTATGACGTATTATACTCATCATTTGCTTACCTTTGATGCTAGTTTGTAAAACGTTAAATGCTGTCTTTCTATTTTTTTTTTGTTATAAATCACAAAAAAAATCAAGCATTTTCTTTTGCAACTAACACAAATTTTGAGTGCTGCATAGAAGAGTGTGCCGAAAGAAAAGCTATAACATATCAGTTTTTCACAGCTGATATCTCTAATTCCTTCAGTTTTTCTTGCATCTCTTTCAGTGTGTATAGGATCTGATAACCTTGAAATAGCCTCTCGAATAATGCCGAGAGGTAATAGGTAGATACGATAATACAGGAAAATACTTATTATTCTTTCTTCTTGACTATGATGACACGTTTCCGATATATGTTGTCTTACTGCACACGTATTTCAGTTATCAGAACTATATTCTCGAGATACATACAATAATATGACATTATTATATTTTTTCAAAATGTCGAGTTCTGCGCGGCCAACAGTATTGGACGTAGGACAGTTTCCCTTGACCTCTTTTAATTTAGCTCTAATAAAGTAAAACGAGTACCCCAGAAAAACTTCGAAATGAAAATGTGTATGCATGGAAACACTCTCAATGCGATAGCTTTTTTCAGTAGAACTAGCGTACTTAAACTTCCCAAGATAGTCGATAAGTTAGCCATATGGTATAATTTGTATGTTTTAGCAGTTTAAGGCTTGAGATTTGCAATGCATCTAGAAAACTTGTAGGAAGCCAACGCACAAACCTGTCTAACTTACTGTATTATACATCTTTCACGTCTTGTTTTCGGCATTTCAGACCCGCTAGTTCTCGTTGACATCCAGAGGGGTAGAAAAGTCATCGCGTGATTGAGTAACAACAATGTTACCTAATAGGTAGTTGAGGCAGCCAAAGTAGGTCGACACTGTCCAGATCAAATTTCTACCTGGGGCTTCCCTACGGTTGAAGGTCCAATGCGTGCTAAGGTCTAGGGAATGATTATGCGCGAAGATTGTAGCGCAATACGCGTGTCACCTGTTAGCGGAAGCCATTCGTTCGTAAATGTTAAATGTTTTAACATCGTTCATAATGTTAGCTCAGATCTTGGAGTGTAAACAATCGAAGGAGCCTGAGTCAGGCTGTTAGATAGGTCCTAGGAATTGTCTAGGAAACAACAGGTATTTATAGAACGATTGAATGAGTCACTGAAAATGACTTGTTAACACGATGTCTCGCAAGCGACTTGTAGCAGCTAGGTCGGACTGTTGTCGAACCGCAGTTGAAGCTGGGGCATGTCAAGAGCGTCGAACAGGTGCACGTTCAATGCACGCGTTAGAACGGTTAGTAGTAAGGATGAGCCGGTGTACCAAGGACACACACAGACCTGCATCTACAGTACAGTTTATTCTATTCAACTGACTTTTTTTCCTTTCAAATATATAATTAATTAACCTTAAGTCGCAGCTTACTGGTTAGATAGGCAACTGCTAAATGCATAGATAGCTCTACTTGGAATAAAGATTTCTGCCAGAAATTATCTCTGCGACGCTTTTTCCATTATGCATTGAAGATAGAATAGGTGTTACTTAGACAAAATTGTTTGCTTTCTATATTTAACCTAATTGACAACATGAATTTTTTACAATGTTTAAACTTGTGCGGCGTGCGAAACTTACAATGTTCCTGGCGAATATCATTATCGTAAAAAAGGTGAAGGTTTCTTAAGTGGTTGGATGCGAAGCTTTCAAACAAAGAAAACACACAAAGAGAAACCATAGAGCAAACGCAGCTTTGAACGTAAAACGTGAGAGCTCCTGTTACATCAATTTGTTCATACTATACCATCGTTCCAGTCAAAACCTACGGCATATTTCAAGCTGTTGTGAGATCGTGACGTGATTGCAAATTGCGGTACAGAGGATAGGCTCACTTTTGATATAAGGCACTTGATATCGGCGGCCCTGCCAGGACAAGCAAGCATGTACTCGTATGTTATATTAGGAGAATCAAATATTCGATCTGTTTGGTGTTTATCACACTGGTGTGGTACGAAACTGCTCCATATGCCATATTCGATACCTATAATTTTTTTTGTAAACGTTCTCCGCCAAATTAGCTAGTGACGAAAACGGCTACGAAATTAGCACGTATATTAATAAAAAAAAAAAAAAAAAAAAAAATCGTTTGTTTGGTCGAAGGTGTCTTTACATGCGTAAACTAAATACTTGCGTGCGGTTTTTCTATGTGAAATGTAAATGTTAGCACATGACAAGTGATAGCAAATGGGCGCTAGAGAAGTATTCTGAAACGGCTCTCAAAGGGAAGGCACTCAGCGAGACGTGCAACGCAATGCTTATTCATCGTACCGCGTATCAACATTCGGGACGTAATACACAAATCAGGGGTTCGATTTCGTCATTTTCCGCTTATGAACAGATATACCAGAGCAATTATCATTATTCCAACCTATTCGATGAAAACAATATCGCTCTGATGTCAGATTATTCTCAAGTGAGTTTCTGTACTTTTGTGGGGATCATAAGAAATACCTCACAGAGGAGCAGCGCACCCTAATAGCAGGAAAGCGAAGTGCGCAGTTGACAATGTGACACAGAAGGTGAAGTATAAGGAACAAAGAACAGCAAGCAAACATCGAAAGTGATACACAATGCCGCGTGAGCACAAGAGAGATCCAACCACGCTATCAACATACAGACCTATAACAGTTTCCCGGTTGTATCCGAGGGTTGCGAAGCACGGGGTCGCTACGTCCATAGAACCCTCCGACGTCGCATTGGAATAAATAAATTTTGACTATCGTAAATCAGCGGAAAAAACCTCCCCCAAAACTATCGACATAAATATGCGCGTTTCAAATGGTTAAATTATTCCAAAGTTGGATAGGTAATAACTGGAAAAGGGTCTGATTTTCAAGCGAATCACATCTGACAACAGAATATCGCACTATTCCTTCCCACCAAGCAGAACAGACATCTGGACAAAGCAATGGTATGGAATCGGTAGCGAGTTCTATCCACGGCGCAAAAAGCCAGTATTTCGTCAATGGCTTTGTGGAGGAATGGCAATACGATTGAGCCATTCAAACGAAAGGCCCGCCCCAAGTACGATAATGGTTTCTAGATGTGGACAGTCTTTATGCATGACAGGTTACCACGTCATATGGCAAGTAAACGACGTTGAGATTCTGTCATGACCCGATCTGAATCCGATTGAAGACGTACGGCATTATGTCAAAGAGCGAATCAGGACAGACACGCGGACTTAAGAATACAGGGTTCTGAGTATAAGTCCAGAATCCGGGCGTGACGGAGGTGATGCTGGAGAGCGTTAGCGGCGTGATAAGTCGAGTTGCAGCAGGGATCGCAGCCAGGGCTGGAAGAACCAAATACTAGCTTCAGTAAGTGCCTTCCTTTCCGCAAGGGTTTCGATATGGCGTTTTTAGCGACGGTGCCGTTATATGTGCCATCATGGCAAAGCAGAGGGAGGGCGCTTTCGAACGAAAAGTCACGCGTAAACGTTTACTCGACTGGTC